ATACAATTAAAATAATAATCTTATAACAAATTAAATTTAAACCATTGAAAAGTTTTAATTCAAGGATAGTAGGAGAGAAATGGGAGGAAGGAAAATGGAGACACCCTCTTCCAGTCCCTCTTTGCATCAACCGTGGATCCCGCCAAAAAAAAAATCAGAAAAATAACATGACCTTTGAACCAACTGTATTTCTAATTTCCAAATGATATTTTTTTTATTTTATTTATAAATTATTTCTATCAATCTCATTAATATCAGTACAGTAAAAATACGAGAAATAAAAGTAAGTAAAATTTCAAACATAACCCTTAAGTAAAAAACAAAAAGTAAGTTAATCATATAATATTATTTTTTATATCTTTCTCTATTTTACTTTTTAAGGGTAATTTGAAAGTGTTAATTTAAAATAAAATAATCTCATCAATAAATAATTTATAAATTAGATCAAATTATGTTTATAAAAAGCGACTTATATATTAGATTGGATGAGTACTTTGAATTTTGATTGATTTATCATAATTTTAGTTTTGTGATAGTTTGTTTTCCACCCAACAAGCAACTGTGTGACAGTTTTACAGATTATATATATTAAAAATATAATTGACAGGAGTCGCATACACTTTATGTGCCATAATATTCACGGTCTTCACGAAAGTTGGAACCAAAAACTTGGCGCTTTTGATAAAAGTATTGGAATAGTTTATAAATAGTTTAAAAAAAGAAAAAAGATGCTCCATCTAATCTGGGATTAGAGTCGAAAATACGTGCTTAGTCTGTTAAGTTGGCCCATTTAAATTTGTTTAATTGAAAGGCTGGGTTTGTAATTAAGACCCTTCAAATGTAATTTAGGTTTAAACGAGCTGATTCTAATGGGCTCGAAAATAAACGGACTGGCTCTAAAGGGTCGAGGGCTAACTGATTTAAACTCTCATGACTTTTTTTTTTGGTATTCAAATGTTTTTTTATTTAAATGATTAACTTTTGATAGACAATTGAACTTGAAAAAAAAAAAAAGTTTAAGCATGATGTATCTATACATGTTAGCCCGTATCTACAAGGAAGAAAAAATATTAAAAAAATAACAACTAATCCTAAATTCCCAATTTAACTTTTCAAATTACATTTTATTGATTCTGTCCCTCTACGATTTATCTCTTGTTCATGTGAGTTGTGCTTGTCTCTTATCATTTCTCTTTTTGATAGCATCTCCCAAATCCTAATAGTGCTCCTCTATCTGCAACCATATTTTATTGTGCTCTTTCGTTTGTGATAGTGCTTCGCCAACCTCAAAGGCTTAAACGAAAGCATCTCTCAAGTCCTCCTCTTACTTGAATAGAATTATAGTTTGATTTGCTTTTCCTTGTTCCTTCCTTATTCTCAATTTTGCTCTTAGTCTTTCTTGTGTCTATGGTTCGTCTCATTTGATCATTCTAATGTTATCACTTTGTTTGTGTTTATAGTTTATTTAGTTGTTTTATTTTGATTCCTATCATTTTATTTATTAATATGGTTGTACTCTTAATTTATATATTGATATGAGATTTTTGAATTATATAATAAAATGGAGTATTACTATTTAATTTGATAAAAATTTAATAAAAAATAAAAAAATATAGGGTTTGAAGGCCGCAAGACCAGCCCTAAGCCCACTACCTTAAAGGTCAGGCCCTTTAATTTGGTACCTTAAAGAAAATAGGGCTTTTTTAAGCTCAACCTTTTTAGACTTAAATCTGTTAAGATCCGGCCTCCTTTTCCATCCCTATTTGGGATCCTCACGAAGTTGCATTCGTACCTTCACGGCCCATTTTATAATGTTCTTGGTTCTAATGTTCTTTGCATGCTGCTCATTCCTGCAGAACAAATCTTGCCGTGTGAAAATATTTTAATATAAAAATAAAATTACGTACCAGTATAAATTTACTTGTATTTTAAGCAAGTTTTGTTTAAGAAAACTTTTGTTCCCAATTTGAAGTTTGAATCTAAACAGGGATGTTTACCAACCCAATGAAACTTTGTTTAACAAACAATGAAACGAAACATGAGCTCTGGTATGTCTGGTGTGAACGGATGTGAGTTTCGTGCTTGTGCGCGCGCCTAATATTTTAGTCGGGCATTGGTGACAGGAAGGACAAGGGTTGTACGAATGCATCTTAAATTTCTGAGTTGGAGAGAGATGGCTGACTTGGAGGTGGGCCCATTTTAGGAGTTGGTTGGCCCACCTCTCAGAATTTTGAGTCATTGGACCAAAAAAAGAGGCCAGCCTCTAGAGCCTAGGCTAGGAATGTTGCTGGGTCCGCTCCTCTTCCTCCACGGGCTAATAATTCATTGCCACATTCCATTTCTTCATCACAAATCAAGCGCACTCGTAATCTCAAGGTTCAACTGCCAGCAAAGGGTGCAAAATAAAAACAATCCATAACCTCCCTATGCACATTGTCCTTCAAGAACTGTGAGGGACAGAATCAAAAAGCTCAGATCCATCAATTCCTTTTTTTCGCCAACCCATCCGCAACATGATTCTGATCACGAGGGGCATCCTTAATGACAGAGCAACATTTTAGAAATTTCCAGCAAGCAAAACTGCAAGCATTATAATTAAATGCGACAACCACATCCACGATGCTAAACTCAGACATTGGAGACTCCTGTCGGCTCAGATTTATGCTCTGGGCTGAGTCTTGAAGGATACTACTTTTAATACTCTACAGCAACGCCAATTACCCACATGGCCTGGTTTTAAAATAGGGATAATCCCAACTAGGCCCCTCAAAAACAACTTAATTGCATGCAGGGCCCCCAAAATTCTGAAATACTTCTACAGGCCCAAATTGCAATCAATTTTGCTGGTCCAATTACCAAAGTGTCCTTGCTTTTTATTTTATTTTTTTCAAAAGTGACTTGTTGCCAGCTGCCGAAGTCTTCAAGTAATTGTTCAAATATGTATAACAAGATGTTTATGATTTAACAAAAGTTACTATTGGCTCAGTGATGTAAAACAGGAAAGAGGAGAGGGGAAAAGAAAGAAGAGAGGAAGAAAAAAATTGTATAACTCTAATTTAAATGTCAAAAATAAATATAATTGAAAAACTTAACTCTATTTCTAAGGTTATAAAAATAATAAAATAATAAAAATTTAAATTTAAATTGCAAATCCTAAACCAAAATCTAATCTTAAAAATACTGATATTTAAGATGATAATAAAATAAATAATAAATCTTAATTCTAATTAATGAAATCCTAGATAACAATAAAAATAGATAATAAATTTTGATTTTAATGGATAAAATCTTTATTCAAATATTCCTCAAGGATAATCTTAATATTTTAAATAAATTTTAATTATCTTAATTAACTATTACTCCATATTCTATCATTACCAAATTAATGTAAAATGAGAAGGGTGAGGGGGCAGAGAGATAAAGAGAAAGGAGGAGAAGGAAGGCTGAAACTTTTAAAAATTTTTATTTAATAATACTCAAAAATTAAATATAAATAAAAAACCTAGCTCTATTTATAGAGTTCTAAAAATAATAAAATAATAATAATAATTTAAATTTAAATCCTAAATTTTAAATCTAAATCTAATCTTAAAAATGCTGATATTCAAGGTAATAATAAAATAAATAATAAATTCTAATTCTAATAGATAAAATCCTAGATAACAATAAAATAAATAATAAATTTTAATGGATAAAATTATTATTCAAATATCCCTAATAGATAATCATACTATCTTAAATAAATTTTAATTATCTTAATCAACTATTATCTCACATTCCGTCACTAAATGGTTCCCTTAATTTTGGAGAATTAAGGGGTTAAGGGTCCAAATCTACCCTTAGCACTTGGCACATTTGACTCATCGTTGACCACTGTATTGGTGGCAGTAACAGTTGGAGTCGAAGCTTTGATAGCTAACAACAGGACACTTTTTTTTTTTAAAAAAAAGATAAGGGCATTTTAATAATTAGGCCAACAAAATTAATTTCAATTTGAACCATTGGGCCTGCAAAAGTATGTTAGAATTTTTTGAGCCTTGGATATGATTAATTTGTTTCTAAGGGCGCTAGTTGAGATTCTCCTTTTAAAATTCTGAGTGAGAGAGAGAGATTACTGAGTATGATGCGCATCTGAATCAACGCCATCTTGACAGTCTCTTGATATATTTCAACAACTTTAGCTGGCTGCATAATTTCTTATCAGAAAGTGATTCGGAATTCCATCTGCTATATCAATTTTCAATCTTTTGGCCCAAAAAAAAAAAAAAAAGAGTGAATCCATTGAATATAAATATATTTATTTTCATAACTTTCAGATTTCAGATGACTACTGCATTGTGTTGAATTTTGCGATTCACAGCCTCCTCTTTTCAAGTCTCCCGAACAGACAGGCCAAAAATATAAGTCATTTTTAATCATGAAATACTGTTTTTGTTTTTTTTAGCCTCTCTCCTAAATCATAACCTTATTTAAAGACAAACTTGAAAGATACATGCTTTGTTACAAATTTATAAAACAATTTAATCAATTCTATTGATCTATGTGAGATAAATACTAGAATAGTGCTCTATTCATATTTGAAACGGCAGTATTTTACCTTGTACGTCTTGATACTATCACATGGATAGACCTCAAGCGGTGTAGAGAGATCGAAAGGATAAGCCATCCACACCAAAGAGATGAGCCCTTCTGGTTAGGCTGTGCAAACAGCCCAGCATGCACTGCCTAGCCTGAGCCAATCAGGCTCATCAGGCTGGGCTTCGAGTTGGGTATTGCCCGGCCAGTGTGCACCCCCACCAGTTAGTACATCCATTAATTTCTCTCTACCTCTCCCCTTGCTCCCACTGCTTACGCTTTGGCCTCCCCACCACCTCAAGCAGTTCTTATTTCAGCTTCTGTGATTTGAGCTTGAGGCACTACAGTATTGGATTCATTTAACAACTACCACCAACATCAGGTTCTTAGCAGCAAAAATAAAGGCCCTGGTTCCATTTCGTATGTTAAGTAACAACCATTCATTAAACCTCAATGTAAAATGACGTATATATACATTTTCCATGATATGAACATGACCAAGGACATACTCCTCTATGAAGACTAGCGATTATAAATACGTATATTAATATCAAGCCAAAAGGCCAAAATAAAAGACCTTATGCAAAATGGTGGAAACTCACTGGAGATTATCCACCACCTACTCAATTAGGTTAAAAATCCCACCCATTTCCAAACGTTAGCTATGTTCCCTAACCTGCATAAAAATCCAAACTTTCTAACTACGAATCCTCCTTATGCCCAGCTTTTTAACTCTTTCACCTGCAGAATGTTCCTGGTATTCACATTCATCAACAGCATGCACGTGGTATATTTACAACGTACATACACCCACCCAACTCAAACATTTGTCATTCCATTCCCACCCAAAACTCTTATCAGCTCAGATTTCTGCTCTGGAGTTAGCCTCGAAGGGTACTTAACCTCAAACTTAATCCTCAAATTGCCCTTCTTGCCGGGCTCTTTTGAAATGGGCATTCCCTCGTTAGGGACAACGACCTCAGTACCAGGTTTGACGATATCAGTCACTGGGATCATGAGACTCCTTTCATCTAAGGTAGTGAGGTCTAGGGTTTTGCCTGTAAGGGACTCTAGAAGAGTGATCTCTTGGTTGATCACCAGATCATTACCATCCCTCCTATAAACAGCATGTGGTTTCTCATCCACCACGAATATAAGATCTGCTGCAATGACACCGGGCTCCTGGTTACCTTTCTCAGGGAAAGTAATCTTCGTTCCTCTCTTCCAACCAGGTTTCACCTCAATAGACAATATCTCCTCCACATTCCGAAACTTCCTGTAAAGGAAAAAACACCCACATCAGACATAGTCAGCAAATAGACATACCATTTTATATTTATAATGGAGGTCTGATCAAATCACAACATGCGAGGGCAGCTAAAAATTTTTTTGGAGCAACATGAGTGAGTACTTTCTGAGTTCTGACACATGGGGCCCAAGGAACAAAAATCAATGTAGAGAAGGGCAATAAAATTAACAAATCAATCACACACTCACCTTGCCAATAAGAGAACTCGTCATATTTTAGACACAAATTATTGGGAACAAAGATAAACACTTCCATCATGCCGGACATAACAAGATTTTTAGGCCACAAATCAAAAGTTGTTGCCCACCTGATCTCACTTGCCACGTCTTATGCACTAAATAAGACGGGTTCCTAATTCCTATCTCAGTCAAGAAATTGTCAGCATCTCACTCTGGATTGCACTTTAATCATAAATAGTTTTGGCATTAAAGGTACCGGATAATATCAACTTGTCATGCAAAATTTTCCAGTAACGTGCAATATTTTAACTGTTTGAATTTAATTCCATTAATTTTCCCTAACAATCACAGGGACAAAGCCTGAAAAACTACAGAGCATCTACTCTAGGGACAACAGTGTCGCACGAGTTGTCCCAGACAGATAATGACTACCGCTCATAGGGTTACTTATATCTTATTCTCAAATATTTTCTGTATGTGTGTGTATGTGAAATATAACTTATCTTTCTCACCCTATCTCCTATTAATTGAAAACCCGCACATCCCCATGCCAGTGCAGTTCTGAGTATGGTGCACATCTGGATCAATGCCTCCTTGACAGGGTCTCTGGGATGTATTTTAACCATTTAAGCTGTCTGCGTAACTGCCACTTAGACATATAGATAGGAAGCCTCCTACTTTTATTAACTTAATCATTGATCCAAGATCCGGGATACTATCAGAAGCCATGGTGTATATATTATCACACCAACCACAAAAAAAAAAAGGGAAAAAAACTCCAAAGAGAACCTTAATTCCCCAGTTCATTGTGTAGTTCTACATGTTGAATATTCTATATACACAAAACTGAAGCATACGATCGATGCTAATTTTGTTCTAGTCTCCTAGAAAAGCGACTTAAGCAAGTTGGTTACCAGAGTAGAAGAGCCTTCCTCAACATAAATTGCCCAACATTTCACCATGCTGTAGATTAATACCAAGATTAATACCACTGAAATATGAAAGTATGTTAAGCACCAGAAAGACCAAAACATCACTAATTCCAAATTTGAAAACTGTAAAACTCAACCACAAATCGAGATAATATTTTATTGGAAAGAATAAGATCATGTTCAACTTGCTTGAACTAGATATTTATATCCTAAGATTCCACATCTTCACAGAAGTTTTATTGTGCCTTTACAGAGGCACTAGGAACCGTAGCAACTGTGTCCAACCCAGAGTTAAGAATGCAGGACACCAAGTCAATGACATTAAACTGATAACTCGCCCAGAATAAACACCAATCAAAGGTTGAGGTCAGATATAACGTGTCAGGGTTGAATTACCACCCCATTCCATTCTTCACTACAAAGGTCATGGATTTCACATATTCCTCTCTCCTGCCACGAAAAGAAAAAATTCTCCTACTGCATGTTTTTTAATTTTTCAACAAAGTACATAACAGTGTTCTAGGATACAATACAGTTGAATATTATATCTACCCATCGTTTTCCATCTATTTTCTTTACTTTTAATTATGCATGTCACAGACAGAATTAAATGCATTCAATGAAATCATGTGCTCTTTAAGAAAAGAAATGCTTTAACGTACCAGGCAAAATTTCTCAGGTTTGAAATTGCTTTTTTAAGAAATCATGATGCCATCAATTCACAACAAAATTGACATATTTTATATTCTCCTTTTCGTTCAAGTTACTTTAAATTATCTAGTACTTTAACATTTTAAAAAATTTCGGGTGAATTAGCAGTGATTTTGCAAGTCTTGTATGGACTAACTGTTCTTCAAGGAAGGTCCATCATTACCAACTCCACAGTTACTGGAACCGTATTTAACAGTAATTAAGGACTCCAAAATTTCTTCTCCTTTTCTTTTCATTTTATATCCTCTCTTGCCTTTTTTTCGGAAGAAAGGAACCCAAAATTTCTACACATTCAAATAGAGTTAGTTATCAGTCAACAGGTAAAAAGATAAACCTGGGAGATTGTTTGGTGTAGTCAGAGGACAAGAAAAATAATTTTCAGCAGGTTATAAATAAAACCTAGCCAACTAAGGGCTAGACCCCAAGAATGATCAATTTTAAAGTTGCTTCAAAACAACTACAACTTTAGTGCAAGAAGTCAAATTCAGTCAGGCCAAAACTTAACTTTTAAAATTATCAACCTTTTAAGTTGCTTCGTAACAACGAAAATTTGGAGCAAAAATAGTCACATTCAAGGTCTAGTTTGTTAATAATCAAAGAATAAAGTGATTTTAGTTAAGTTTAACACTAGAGTTGTTGGGAGAAACTAAGCTAATCATAAAGCTTTTGTTGGGGGGAAAAAATCTATCTTTAACTTCTTCTTTTTTTTTTAAATAAAGCTTATCAAAATAAGAATTTTTTCAACACACATCATATGTTTAGCTTAAATTCTCCAAACAACTCTCTCACACTCACAACAACTTTCTCATGCTTAGCCTAACTAAAATCAATTTTTTTTTAATCTTAAACAAACTGTCCCTAAGTCGAGCAAATTCAAACCGGAGAGGAAAAGGGTCAGCCAGAAGCAGAGGATACCACTTAAAGGTTAACACTCTACTGGCGCGATGAGACTAGATTCCTCTGTTTACATTACATAACATTTTATTAGCCAAGGCAGCAAGGAGATCAGCACATCTGACAGCTTTGATGAACACAGGAGCAATATTTGTATTCCCCTGTTCATCAGTCATTTGAATTGCCTAATCAGGGTGCTAGAGTAAGGGACGGACGGAGTCGTTCCATTTAAAAGCATCACCAGACTATAAGAATCAAGTTTGAGCCTTTCGGATCGGAACCTAAGGTTCCTAGCAAGTTCGAAACCAGATAGGTCACCCCAAGCTGAAGCTTGAAAGAACGAGAACCATTGTCCGCAGAAAACCCCCCAAACTCGATCTAGATATCTATTGGTTAAAAACGGAACACAATAATTCCTAAAAATTGCAACGCAGCAACTTGAAACAACTTAACGAGACAGAACCTGACGATTGAAGGAGCAGCGCAACAATCAGCTGTTAGGTTAGGGTGTCAGTAGATTAGAGATTCGATATCTTAAATTCATAATACAGATATCAAGTTGCATACCCAAAAGCGTCACAGACATTCCTTGAGATCTTCATCTTCTTCTTGACACCTTTGTAGAGCTCTTCCAAGCTACACGGCAAAAGAGTCTCCACCGCCGCAGCCTTCCTCCCCGCTCCTCCAAACGCACCATTTGAAGTTCTGAAAAAGCCATCCCAATGCGCTCCATTTCTCCCACCTCCACCACCACCACCATTCTCCGACCCAAAAATTTCCGCGTAAATGTCGTTGGCGTCCCTGGGATTAAACCGATAAGACGTCTTCGTATGCTGGCGTTGTTGGTTTTGGAAATGCTGGTAAGCACGAGAAGCCGAGGAGGACGTGGAAGAGGAGGATTGCGGAGGTGGAGGGAATTGACCGGACTTGAGAGCCTCCTCGCCATAGAGATCATAGATCTGACGCTTCTGGGGATCGCTCAAAACGTCATAGGCTTCGGAAATTTGCTTGAATTTGGCCTCAGCTTCCGTCTTGTTAACTGGGTTTTTGTCTGGGTGCCAAATCATCGCTAGCCTCTTGTAGGCCTTCTTCAAATCGTCCTCACTCGCATTTCGATTCACTTTCAGTATGTTATAGTAATCGGCGCCCATCTGCGAGCCTAGGGAGATGGACAAGCGAGTATCTCGCTCTCTCTCCCTCTATAAGAATATCAACGGTTAAGCTTGAGGTACAAAAACGGGCAAAAGCTCCAGAAACAAAGTGAGAATACGGCGACGGAGACGGTGGCCGAAGATTGAGCAGAAGAAAAGGGGACCGTTAGAAGAGGGAAAGGAAGGATGGGGGTGAAGGCCGTGGATCTGACTGTTAAAATGAGAGGCTGATGGAAGGAGGAGCTTAATCATATGGGGTGAGAATAACGTGCTACGAACTACTACGACGTGAAATAGCAGGCCAGGAAGGAAAACTTCAACACAATGGGTCCGTATTTGGGATACCTTTTATTTTATCAATTTATTTTGGATTTTGGGCTACATTTTATGCTTGTTGGTTTTATAGGCCCATGATCAACACTCGTGTTGTTTTTTATTTTTAATATCTTTTCTTTCTCAAAAGGTTAGTTGGAGGTCAACCTCCCGCACCATATTAGTCACTTAAGGCTCTGTTTAACTTAAAGACTTTAAATTAGAGGGATTGAAATTGAGATTGATAGTAGAATTGAGATTGGTAGTGGTAGTAGGATTGATGTTTTAAAATTATGTTTGGTATGAATTAATAATTGTTTGGAATACTTATTTTATAATTAAATATAAATTATTAAAAGACTATAAGGCTCTAATAATCAATAAAAAATTGTAGCCTGAAAACCCATTATCTCTGTCACGAGCCCATCCCTCTCCCTATTGCAATCACCTTCTTCCGCTCTCGCTCTGTTTGCATCTCGTTGGCATTAATCTTGACAGACCAAATGCTGCAAGTCGTCTAGCTACTTTGAAGCGACGAAGCATGCCTAGGTTTGAAAATGACTTAGAAGTCATGCGATGACTTGGAAGCAATGGAGTAGACCTAGTTCTTCAGCGACCATGAGATTTGGACTCTTGAACCCAACAAACTTAAATTAGATTTGAGCTCTTGAACTAAGGAAGATGGTGGTGAGATCTGGTCAACTCTCAAACTCCAGCCAATGTTGACACTGCTCACCTTGGTTTGAAGATAAAGATAAGGGAATTGAGTTCAATAAGGCTTGAAGATTTGGCTAAGAGGGTGGTCAAACTAGAGAAAGAAGAAGATGGAGGCATAATATGGTAGAGGGAAAGGCACAGTATGGTGGAGGGAATGGCGTAGCAAGAGGGCATGATTGATGAATAATTAGTAAGGTTGGAGGGCATTTTTGTCTTGAAAAAATCAATTGCAAGATTTTTTTTGCAATACCATGGGGGAGGTAGTATTAAGTAATCCCATAAAAGACGAGATTGATATTGGTATTGGATTGTGCATTACTTCATACCAAACATAAAAAAGTAAGATTATTTAGTTCCAATCCTGGTCCCACCATCTCATTCCTTCGTATCAAACAAGGCTTGAGGATAAAGTGCCACCTTAATCTGCTTTTCAATTACTAAGGATGAAACACTCGTTCACTTAGTTAAGGGATGAGATATTAAATTATGACGAGCAAATGTCGGGTAACACTCGTGTTATTTGTGTAGCAAATTTCCTCCAAGCACCAATAGGAATTGTCCTAGACCTAGTTGAAGGTTTATGACCACTTGAGCATCAACTTTTAAATAAAATATTATCAAAATATAATCTTTGGCTCTTGTAATTTTATTAAATTTTACTTTTAATCCATATAGTTTGTTTTTAGCACTTTTAGTCATGGAGACTAAAAAATTAGAAAAGCTATAATAATTAAAAACAAAATTTGTTAAAATTATAAGGATAGATAATTGTATTTTTCCTAAGATACTATTGGAAAAGTAGCCTCCAATTAAGCTAGCAATGCTCGGATTTGACCCAATTGATTAGTCATGTGTGTGTAATCCTCCCAATCATATGGCTATATTGAAAGAAGGAGAGTAATTTTCAGAACCAATGTAGTATATAGAAAAGAGTAATAAATAATCTTGATTGTGTATCAACTAAACCGATTTTTAGGCATTGCACAAAATATAATTTATGAATTGATAATATGACTCGATATAAATTTTATTGAATATAGATGATATCAGATCAATAAATAATAAATTAATAATAAAGGAAATTGTGGTAATTGATTTAATTAATATAATATGGATGAAATCAATACTATATTTATTTTCAGGCTAAAATGCATAAAAATTTTCTGAATTTTAAAACAATTACATATATGTCCATTACTTTTAAACATTTAAAATTAATCCCATAATCTTTAATTTTGTTTTTCAAAACTTTTTACCATTAATTAACTATTATGTTATTAATATAGTTACATGTGACATATGAAAAGAAAAAAAATAATGCAATAAGATATTTATTGATATTAGTGATTTGTATTGATTTTCTTAAAAAGTAGAAAGAAAGAAAAACTACTTGTAAAGTATCGATTGCTATTGAAACTCTTAAAGCCTTGATAATTAGAGATAGTATGTTTTTTTTTTATTTTAGTTTTAATCATATTTTTTCTTTTATTTCTTGTTAAAAACAATAAAAATATTTTTTTATGTCACATGCCATGTGTATTGCATTAATCTAATATGGCAATAACCATATTAATAACATAACCATTAGTTAATGGTAGGGGATTTTGAAAAATAAAATTAAAAGTTAGGAAGTTAATTTTAAACAAGATAATTATATACAACTATCTCAAAATTAAGAGGATTTTGTGCATTTTAATCTTATTTTTAAAGTATATAGACTTTTGTCTAACTTCAAATTGAATAAATATTTATTTTAAATATTTTTTGGTATTCTATTTATTAAGATATTTTATTCACCACCAGCACAGCCGCTCAGATTCAAATTTCACAATTTCAGTGCGTTTTTTTTTTTTTTTTGCCAGATATTTCAGTGCCTTTTACTTTACTTAATAACGCATTATAAACAGCTAAACACCATGTTGTACCTTCCTTGTTCAATGCATACAATTGATGTTTATAAGGAAAGACTTGGTTCTCTCTATACCTCCTTTCAATATCTCTCTCCATGTTTAATGTTACCTGTCAGTTTTAATTATTTATATAATTTAATGGTATAAGATTGAGAATAATAATGCATTTGGTGCAAAACTTGTATCTTCAGTTTCATTAACAAGCCCGTTTCCTCTGTTCATGTTCATTTTGGCTCACTTTATGAGCTTTGGACTTGCCCTATGTTTTTTTGTTGTTTTAATTTAATTAGAAAAATCACATTCAAGAACTTATAAAAAAAAGTCATCAAAAAACAATGGTTAATAATAAGTTATTATTTGAGAAAAAAACAAATGTATATATTCATGTTAACAACAATGCATTTCATATTAATTATTATCTCTGAATAACTTTCTTCATAGATCATTAGATGCAATTTTTACTAACTAATTTAGATTGATCATTTATTTATTAAAAAAAATCCAACGGACTTGTTTACCCTTGGACAAGTGAAAATATTAAAACAGGAAAAAGAGAGAATTATTGGGGCCGGACAAGAGTACGTGTGGATGAGAGACTGATTATTCTGTCAAACTTTAAGACTTCTAGGAGCATTTGACTGTTGACATCGACAATTAGAGCACTCTGGTTTTCCGCACACTAACAAAGAAAAAGAAAACACATATACCAAAGGAATTATCAAACGCGAAAGATAGACTGAAAGAACAAGATATACACAGAATATTTGGCAATTTTGGGCCCTGCATGTCACCAGCCATATAAACCCTTTACATGCAATCCCACCATTCATGGGCTCCTCCCAAAGAACTTGCTTAGTTGCTTTCAAGTTCGGATTTTCTGAAGTGTCGAACCTATGAAGCGCATTGAAACAAGCCCCCCCCCCCCCCCCCCCCCCCGCCGGCGGGGGGAAAAAAAGTAGAGTAACAGAGAAAGTTTGAGTGCATTGGAAACTCACCTCGTCTTACTCCCTCTTTACTTTAAACACGCTTTACACCTCAGATAATCTAAAATCCCTTGCTTTTTGTCGGAGAAATTTTACAAGCTAGCCATAAAGTTGAAGCATAGAAAGTGGCGAGGGACCACCAAGGTCGGCGAAAGAAAAAGAACAGTAACTTTTCACTCAAACAACCACTGCTTGACCACTAAATCCATCATGAAGCTGAAGAGAACCATCCTTCATCAAATTGAGGCTCAGGCTCTTGAATCTCTCCCTTGAATACTGCCTTGATGCTTTTCTCCAGTCAGTTCCCGTTTTCATCGTTGCCACAAACTCCTCATAGCTGATGCGGCCATCCTGTATAAACAACAAATGTATGAGCATGTCAGATACGCTCACAAAATTTGATTATGATTTGGCTTGCTATGCCTATGTTTCATAAACTCTGTACCTTTCATTCATGTTGCACAATTAGCCTATCGATGAGCAGGTTACAAGCATATCAATTTCATACTTATTTGTTTATTTATAATCGGTTTGGTACATAAATCTTTGGGAAAACGACAATTAATGACCCTATAAGACCATTATTCATAATTAGGGATCCTAAATTATTGAAATGCCAATGATAAACCATAATCCTTACTTATAATTAAAAACATGAGTTTAAAATATATAAAAAATATTACTAAAATTATTATTATGAATTAGAACTATTGTTAAGCTTAGTTGAGAAAATCAAAAACCACCTTAAAAATGAGTTGTCTTTCAACATAGAACTAAAACTCATTTGTGAAACTTTCGAAAAGTACTTGTGAATATATGATATTCACTTAAAAATCTACCAAAATCACTTATAAATATGAAGCCAATTACTTGTGAATTTGTATGCTTATCAATATATAGGTAAACTACTTAAAAAAAGACACTACTAAAATTATTATCATGTGTTAAGACTATTGTTAATATTAATTGAAAAAACTAGGATACCAAATGTAATGGGTTAAGACTATTGAAATTATTATTACGGATCAAGTGTGGATCTTAGTTTTTCCAACTGAGATTAACAATAATCTCAATTTATAATAGTAATTTTAATAGTGTATTTTTTTGATTTTAAACTCATGTTTTTAAATTTCAAATAAAGACCCTGGTTCATCATTGAGATTTCAACTATGCAAATTTTCTAACTGTAATTAATGGTTTTATGGGGTTTTTAATTGTCATATTCCCCAAGTCTTTTGGGAATTGAGTAGCATGGTCATGGGTAGATGCATAAACACCTTGGGCATAGTTTTTTAAGTGAAAAACCTTCCAATGAAATGCTTATAAATTTACATTCTACAAGTGCTTGACTTGTATGCTATATTTTACAATTCTAATAAGTTTACCCAGATTCTCAATAAAGAGAATCAGGAGAGGCAAAGAAAGAAAGAGGAGCATGGAAATCAAACCTTGTCAGTGTCAACCTCACGCATGATGTCATTCAAGACATCAGCCTCAGTTTCACCTGATTCATCTGCTAATGCGTCTCGTAGCTCACCTAACTCAATATACCCACTCTCATCTTTGTCAAAATACTTGAATGCTTTGCGGAAATGCTCGTCATTCTCCATTCTTTGCAGGTGAATAGTCACGGCTACAAATTCTCCATAGTCAAGTACTCCGTTCCCGTCAACGTCAGCCTAATTAATTCCATATCCATGGTAAAAAAATATCAACGAATCACGAAATTTTATTATATCAAATATACTTGTCACTTTTCTGCCCAAAATATATATATATATATATATATACTTGGCTAGGCTTTGAACAAGTATGGCAACTCATTTTATGCTCCTTCAGATATAAGCAGGGAAATTTTCAGCAGAAGTTGTTAAATTGGCTTCAGAGAAAAATTGTGGCAAATTTCTGCCTTTCCGGTAAAGTGACACGTTCCTCTGTCAAGGCATAAAAGACTAATGTCCTCTAAGCCTCAGATAATTCCATTCCGAAAGAACCTTGCATCATTATTTTTTTTTAAGAAACTGAACTTTAAAGAGAGAGATATCTAAAAGCACATTCGAAACATTATTAATCCAAGGTAAGCATGATGTATGCACTACATGTGGCAATGAACATTGTTGTCCAAAATTTCCAAGACACCTACATTTCATATGCCAATCATGTGAGCAGGTTAAAAGGAAAGAAAATATTAGCTAGTAGTGCACAAAGCATGTAATATTGTTCAGTGCAGACTCTTTGAAAGACATCATGCACTAGCAGTCCAAAAAACTGCTTCCAAGGGGATTCTCTGCTTTATCAGAACGACTCAAACACATTGGTGATGAAACAATTGAAATAAGAAGAAGCATTTCTATGATGAATGGGTATCTTGTCAAGAAAGCTTACCACTTCCATCAGCATCTTTATCTCTGGCTCGGCCAGCTGTGAACCAACCTTTCGCAACCCGGCCTTCAGTTCCTCATATGTTACTTTTCCATCTCCATCACTATCCATCAATGTAAACATATCTTTGATTATCTCCACCTCTTCAATGGATAAATACTCTGCTATTACCTGCAACAGTTATTTAACTTCCTCAATATTTCATCAGAGACAAAACTAGAATCAGTAGTTGTGTGAAATCAAAAGTAGGTGCTAACCCAAAGGGCTTTCTTTTTAAATCTATTCATCATGGAGAACTGCTTAAGCCTTGTCCTCACAATATCTCCCAAGGGAACATTTGAAGCTTTCTTTGCATTTTGTAGCCAGGGATGTTCTGCAAACATGGTTCTTGACAGTAAATATTCGGAATCACTTCTGATTAAGCTGACGTGATGCAGAAGTATGCCTCCTAAGAATTAAAATATGCATAGTTTTAAAGGAAATGGGGGATTAGGGCAAGTGGCACATGCAAAACTAAGAACATTCCTCTTAAACAAAGAAAGTCATATGTGATGGCATGCTTGCTGTGAACTGCTTAAATATGATCATTTGAAGGCTAATAAGTAATAACGGGGCCTTACTTAGTTATCAAAAGACAACCATCCAGGCATACTAGTTCCACAAAAGTCATTTTTGTGATGCATGATGACAAAACCCTGCTCATAAACCTCCGTAAACCCCAACTATGACCAGAAGTTAATGGTCCTCGATGTACATAGCATGCATGAATAAATTTTCGCTAACATTTGAGCATCTTAAGACAGGGATTCTTGATCACATCCTAAGATTTCTTTTGAATATCCACCCCATAAGGTGCACGACACCTGCTTATGACTTTTCCACCACCACCCTTTGAAAATTGTATTACAACTAAGCTTCTGACGCAAAAGGAGGAGTCCAATGTCCCCAAGTCATTTATTGTGGTTCCTAAGATTAGTGACTGCAAGTTGCTTTACTGATACTGATTGTTCTCAACTTCAACGCTAAACAAAATCGATCCTCTATTTAGTATATTGGGATGGCAAGTTTCAAAGAGGTCTGTGCCTACTAAATAAGAAAATCCCGGTTCGTTACAAACACAGGTGTTGATCGCCACATTAGTCTTTCAATTCTCATACCAGAAAAAACCACACGACTTACCGAGCACCTGTTGAGCTGTCAAGCGCTTTTTAGGATCTGGCTCCAACATCTGCCTCACTAGACTCTTAGCACTATCAGATATCTGAGGCCAAGGTTCTCTCTTAAAATCAATCACGCACCTCAGAATGGCCAGAGCCACACCTTGTTCGGTCTCTGCAATTAACACGACAACTCTCACTAAAGCAGAAAAATTCTCGTAACCAATTATATCACTTACTTCAAAAAAAATCAATTACAAAACCATTACCTGCCCAAAATGGAGGAACCCCACATAACAATATATAAAGAATGACGCCGGCGCTCCATATGTCAACCTCCGGTCCGTAGTTTCTCCTCAAAACCTCCGGCGCCATGTAGTATGGACTCCCGACGATCTCCGAAAATCTTTCTCCTAAAAGAGGGGAAGAAATCTAGATAGCGTCACACCAAAAGGAGAAAAAGAGACAGAAAAAACGGAATTCAAATCACAGTCCGAGCGAAAATTAATGGAAAAACCAAAGGAAGCATGACGAAGAAACATATATGACCCACGCACCAGGCTTGAAAAACACAGAGAGTCCAAAATCAATGGCCTTAAGGACCGAATTCTCCTTCTTATTCGCGAAAAGGAAGTTCTCAGGCTTGAGATCTCTATGCATGACTCCGTTGGCATGGCACATCCTCACGACTTCAGCTATCGTTCTAGCGACCGTTGCAGCGGCTCGTTCACTGTAATGTCCTCTGGCCACAATCCGGTCAAAGAGCTCACCGCCCTCACAGAGCTCCATCACGAGATGTACATTCTCATTATCCTCGTAGGTCGCTTTGAGCTTCACGATGTTTGGGTGGTCAGGAAGCGTTGACATTATAGCAACCTCGCGCCTCACGTCTTCTATATCCACCGCTGTTCGTAGCTTTCGTTTCGAAATCGATTTGCAAGCCAGTGCTTCCTTCGTCTCTCTGTCCGTGCAAAGGTACGTAATCCCGAACTCGCCGCGACCCAGCTCGCGTCCGAGTATGTACTTGTCGCTGATTCGAGTTCGGTGGCTCAGAGGGATCACGTCCTTCAGGACTCGGATCGGAGCTGGCGAGTGAATTGCGTCCTCTACGAATGGATTCTGGCCTCTGTCCTTAGATTTCTTCCTCCTCCTGTAGTTTGTGTCGTTGCTCGACGGTTCTTCTGCCACTTCTGCTTTCACGCAAACGTTGCAATTTCCCATGCTTCTCTTGAAGCTTCACAGCAACAGAACAGCCTCTCTGCTTTTAGCTCACAACAAAGCAAGGTTTAGAGGTCACTTGCAGTGTAGGTGTCGTGTTGCCGCCGGTGAGTGCTCCGGGAAAATAAGAAGAGGGGCGTGGGGGGGGGGGTGTGAAAGAGGACGGGGAAGAGAGAGGAAACGCGAGATTTTGAAAATAAGTTATAATCGTTATTGTTGTAGCTGTAATGAATATACGGATACTTGTTGTGAATGTGTAAGTGCCAAAATAGTTAAGTGCTTTATGGATGGGATAAATAACAAATTTACAAATTAATACTTGAAAAATTAATTATTTTGAAGGACTTTAAATTCATCATTAATACTATAACACAAATTTATCAATCAAGTTACAAGTATTCGCCCTATATATAGAACGAATTTATAACGTAAAGATATTTACCATTTAAATAACATGAAATGAAAAGTGGAACAAGTATTTATCATTAATGATTAATAATAATTTTGAATTTGAGTTTTGGAAATAAATTTTTTTATGAAATTGAATATTTAGGAAAAAGTATTTATTATAAATATTTGACTTTTTTTTATCTGATTATATAACTGAATCAAAATTAAGTATTGTCAAAATTAATTGAAAAAATTCTTGCAATTGAATGAATTTATAACTGTAAATAAATTTACCATTCAAATAACAGGAAATCAAAAATGGAACAAGTATTTATCATTAATGATTGATAATAATTTTTCAATTTGAGTTTTGAAAATAATTTTTTTTTACAAAATTGAATATTTAGGAACAAGTATCTATTATAAATATTTGATTTTTTTTACATGGCTATATAACTGAATGAGTTTCAAGTATTGTTAAATTCACTTGGAGTAATTCTTGAAAAGATGCTCATTTACATAAACTTTAATTCAAATTTCGTGTTTAAGTGGTCATTATATTGTTAATCACAGAGAGCAACTTATTTTACCAAATCAGCTCATGGGTTGGATCATTACGCAGGGCTTTGACATTTGATATTATTATAATTATAGTTATAACTTCAATTAATTTATGGATAGTGTGCTGGCCAAAAAGAATAATGGATAATGAAACTTTATCCTTAATGCAATTGTCAAGCAACACTTGGTCGACGAGGGGGGCAGAGAGATTGCGGTGAGAACCGGTACTACTACTCCCTCCCTTCTAAATGTTGTCATACTGAGATTTAAATTTATTGTAAAATAGTTGCATTTTTTATTTTTACAAAAAAAATGATATGTGTGAAGCTCAAATATGATAATAGTTTTATATCAGGGTATTTTAGTTTGCCATCATTAAAGTTTGCTGCATTTAATAAATTTTTACATCAATGTATGTGATTTTAAATGTCGACTATTTTAAAATGGATGGAAAAGGTTGTGTGTATTCAAGGATTAATTATTAAATATGGAGTTGCTTGATTCATATAACCATACTTTTGGAGGGGAGGTGTGTGTGTGTGTGTGTGTGTTTTTTTTTTTTGGAGAAATTAACTTTTTGAGAACTTCATGTATAATATGCTTGTTTAATGTGTTGTTTTTGTGGAGAAGTTGGAAACCTTTTTTAAATAAATAAATATATATACACCATCTTTTAAGATTAAAGGTGTAATATGAAGAGCATTCCTAAAAAAATACTCTAAGGGATTCATATATTCTCTTTGGGTTGATTTTTTAAAAAAATCAAATCAAACCAAACCAATTGATTTGCTAAAGTTTGGGACTTGTTAGATTTTTTTTCTCTAATAGATTTGGTTCAGTTTTTAAATAATTTGATTAGCTTTGATTTAAATTTGGATCAGAATTAAATTTTTTTTGAGATTTTTTTTTATAATTGTTAATATATATTGATATTCATTCATAAAGGGGGCGAGGATGCAGTAAAACGACTTGACGGCCAATCAATTAACTTCCTTTGATTGCTTCACTCTCAAATAAAGAAAAAAAAAAGTGAGATGAATAATTCCACAGAACTTGGGAACTTCTAAGTTAAAATGCATCAAACTCCATAAACTTTAGGGTAGTTGTTTGCAACTCTCACTCCCATCCCAAAGTTAACATCAACTGCACTTCAATTGGATTAAGTTCTTTTTAAAAAAAAATTCATCATTTTGGTTCCTAAAAAATATGAAGATATTATCAACATTCATTCAAACTATTCTGAACCCTCATTGTCTAAGATCATTATTACTTATTATTAACGATGACTTTGTGGGTATTTTGAGGATACCTTTGACATTTCTATCAAATATGAGTGCATGTCTCAAAACTCAAACTTACAATTTTAAGATAAATTGATTCAACTCTTTGAATAAGTTGAGTCAAACAATTTAAATGCCAATGCCTCATTTGATAAAGTGAAATGATTTTAGTGGAAGTTCAAATAGAAAGAGAAGGAGGAATAGAAGTGAAATGAAATTTAAAAGTATGTTTGAGATACAGATAAAATTGAATTAACAAAATTTATTTAATATTTTTTATATTTTAAGAAGACTAAAATATCCCTAAATAAAAGAAATTCAAGCATTAGAGCAGCAAGCTACAATTTTCATTTGACAACTACCACTGTTAGAAATTGCCTAGAAAATAAATCAATCAAAAACTCAAAAGCAATCAATCACAAAAAAATGTACAACTCCAAATAAGAAATTGAAGGCCAGAAAATCACAAATTGAAGAAGTGAAGCATATGGAAGAAGTAAAAGGGTGGAGAGATTGAAGAAGGATATTGAAGAAAGCTTCTGTCCAACCACTGCTCTCCACGTGTCCTCCTCCTTGAACATCAAGCCTAGATGAAGGGAATCAGACACAAAGAAATCGAAGATGAAGGTATTGCAGAGAATGGACCAAAGGACTAGGACTAGGAGCAGGAGCAGAGGTGGGAGTCATCAGTGTTCCTGAAGAAAAGGGAGGCATCTGGAATGAGAGCTTGGGCATGACAGGAGAGTGGGGAGGTTGAGGGTAAATATAACAAAACAAGGGCAAAAATGAGGTAGGAAGTAGTTCCATGGGTTTATCCAAGGAGCCCAATTCTATCAAATTTAATGGAAGTTAACATATAAATTTATGGTTCTACTTTCAATTTTACTCCCCTCCCTCCAATTCTTTGCTACCAAACAGAGGAAAAATACCCCTTCTTGGATCAAGGTCCTCGTCTTCGTTTCTTATGAAGACTTTATCACCCTATCTCCAATTATTAACTACATTATAAAAATCATGTAGAGTAAAAAACTGGACTGTCATATTTGACCAAGCCTTGGAAGAGGGCAACGGCTACAAAAATCAGGAAACTACTCAACAAGACGATTGGTAAATTACAATCCTCAAATATCTCCCTCCTGAGTATGAGTTTTTTGGTTGCTAACGTGAATCAGTTCCCTTTTCATTATTTTTCACTATAGCCTTGCCGTCTTCCCCCCCCCCCCTTTCTCTTTCCTCACCGGCTGTTGAAGTTGTTCAACGCTTGAGGTTTTACGTCAGGAATATTTTGACTTTTCGCCACACGGTTGTGTAGTACATACGGAAAATCAAACTTCTAAATTACATTAGGTTATTGGATAAAAAAATAAATTAGTTTTTAAATTATTGATTCATTAATGTCTGAATCCTAAATTTTTTTTTATATAATACTTTTCTTTAACTTCTAAAAATAATACAATCTGACCTTAGCATCAATAAAAATTAATTTTAATCATTAATTAATGAGAAAATGACTTCAAAATTTATAAAAAAACTAAAAATTATCATAAAAGACCAAAAAATTATATAAAATGATTAAAAAATTTTATTGGCTACTTTTATAATAACTTTTAGGTTATTTTTTATTTTTTAATCAATTAATGATCAAAATTAATTTTTATTAAAATAACTGTTTTCAAAAAATTGAGAAAAAAATATTATACAAAAAATAAGATTAGAATCTCAAACATTTTTGAACTTATAGTTTAAAAATCAACTTACTCTTTTACCCTATATTAAAAACATTTTTTCACAGGTAGAGTAAGGAAGAACTACCACTACATGTTGTTTGTTTTGTCTACATTTATTCCATGTTTGTTTATTTCATATTTATTTTAGAATTTGAACGTATCCAATTTTAAAAATTAAAATCAAAATAAAAAAAACTTAAATTCAATTAATTTAAATTGAAACTTATTTCATAGGACTCTATGATAAGAAGTTGTACTCTATTCTTAATTTAAAATTTGAAGTTTATAATAATTTAAAATAATTTAAAAATCTGAAGTCTTTTAACATATAGTACACCTTAATCGTGGCCAATCATGTCCTATTACTCTTGCTCCGATGTCCGGGGCTCCAGGTAGAACCTGGGGAACGCTTTATTTTGCTGCGTGGTTGGGCACAACAAATACGTATATGCATATAGCCACACGCACATGAGCGCGCGCACATGTTAGTTTTTTTTTAATCAATGTATGTATCTCTATTTTTCTCTAACAAAATAATGAATAAGTGAATATTAAAATTTCTCTCGCTGATCCATTGGTTATGTGTTCATATTATTTATAATTCGCTCAAGATAATGTAGTTTGACCTATTTTAAGATTATTTTAGTTAGTTAATAGTGGGTGAATTGAATTTTAAATTAAACGTAATGAGGCCGATATCATGGATTGTAGTGCAGTCATACTCATATCAATGATTAAAAAACATAGCAGGAGTAATGATTTGCTACTCCTAAAAGTTTAAACCAGATTTTTTTATATTAAAAAAATGATAACAGGGTCAATTATTAGAGTGGATCTCAACCCAAAGTTCACCAAGGAATGAGAAACTAACATGGGCTTGATGGTGTCATAATTGGCATGCATATTAATTTGAGATTACTTTTTTATTTTGCTGAGTTAATTTAATTGAGCAAGATAAAATTTAAATCTCAGTAATTTAAATATTAAAAGTTTTAATTATTTTGAAAAACAAAAATTCAGTTTTTCTAAGGAACAATATTTATAAAATGTAGGCTTTGTATCTCGCTTAAGATATGAGGAAAGCAGAATTATTTATAATTTATAAATAACGAAAGCAGCTTTCTAATTTGTCACCTTTCTAATTTATCATTTTTTAGCAAATTTCTGCATCATTCACTCTCACACTTTTTAAATATACTAGTATATGCTATGATCAGGCGACATGAAA